TTACAACTTTATTTATTAATATCTAACTTACTTTACGCTTTCCAAGTGAAGCAGGCCTAAAAACTTTATGTTGTTGTGCTTGAGATAATGATGAATGAAGAAGCAAAATGGAACAGTTTTGAGCTAGATCAAATTTTTTTAATAAACAAACAATGATTAGATCTAAATGAATGTGCATSATTAATTAAATAACTAGGGTCCAAATGTTGATGACTTGATTATCTTTTTTTGGAACATCATATACAGTGCTTTCTAGCTTACAATTTGTTTCAATAATATACAAAATACAAATGTATAAAACTAAATTTTATTTTGAATTATTGTTAATGTTTTAATGAATTTTTTACATATTTTTAACAATTGACAGACAAATATTATGAGTTATTTATTTGTCATCATTATATTTATATACTTATCACAAACCAAAAAAAAAAACTTTATGATTTTTATACATTATGTATGTTTATAAATATTAAAATTTTTAATTTTAAAATCAATAAATTATTTTACTATTTCTAACAGTTTCATGGGTAGTTTTTATGTATTTAGGTAATTATTAATTAAAAATGCACATATACAAWTATTTAAGGCATCAATGTCCACTAGAAATAACTAACTGAATAAAATTCTTTCTTGTATTTCTTAATACTTAGATATTAATAATCAAAGCACTCAAACATAATTAGAAAAATATTCAATGTATATAAAAATTATTAGTTATACAGAGTATTCCGCGAGGATTTAGAAATTGTGATATCTCCTGAACACAACCTCTTGGGTCACATGTTTGATAACACTATAGTATTATTTAATTTTAATTCAGACTTAAACTAGTTCGGATATTGGAAATATAAAATTTAAAAAATGTATTAGAAATCATCAAATTACATTTCCATTGTTTTGTCATTAAGTTAAAATTATTAAATGTTGCATAAAATGTTATGAAGTTAAATAAAAAAAATTATTTAAAACGTAAAAAAACCCATATATTAACATTATTTTTATATTAATATTATACTTAATAATTATTGACAAAAATTATATATCATTATTTTATTATT